AAGTCGTCGCTATGGTAATGACTTCCCGGGAAATTCACGAGTATGTGGCTTACTTGGATTAGGTTCTGGCGTTGTTCAATGCCCCGTCCGATGGCGCGGGTGTCACTACAAGTGGCGGTACGGAGTCGATCATCATGGCATGCTTGGGTGCGCGCCAGAAGGCTTTCCTCGAGCGTGGCGTAAAGGAACCGGAAATGTGGGTGGCTACTCCTATACATACCCTGCTTATCTACTGACACGCCCGTAGGATCATCCCCGATACTGCTCATGCTGCCTTCATCAAAGCCTGCAACTACTTCAAGATCAAGCTCCATCGTGTTCCCTGCCCGGCTCCCGAGTACAAGGTGGACATTCCCTCCGTGCGTCGCCTGATTAACTCGAACACTGTCTTGATTGTTGGCTCGGCACCCAACTTCCCTCATGGAATTGTTGATGACATCCCAGCTCTGTCTCGCCTCGCAACGTCTTACAAGATCCCTCTGCATGTTGACTGCTGCCTTGGTTCCTTTGTTGTTGCCTTTCTGAAGAAGGCAGGCTTTGCGTCACCCTATGAAGAGGAAGGTGGCTTTGATTTCCGCCTTCCCGGAGTGACTAGTATCAGTGTGGACACACACAAATACGGATTTGCACCCAAGGGTAACTCGGTGCTCTTGTATCGCAACAAGGCCTACCGCAGCTACCAATACTTCATCTACCCAGACTGGTCCGGTGGTGTTTATGCATCCCCATCTGTGGCGGGTTCCCGTCCTGGTGCCCTGATTGCCGGATGTTGGGCCAGTTTGATGAGTGTTGGCGAGTCTGGCTACATCAAGAGCTGCTTGGATATCATGGGCGCCGCCAAAAAGTTCGAATCCTCCATCAAAGAGCACTCAGTTCTGTCGAAGAGCTTGGACATCGTTGGAAAGCCCATGGTCAGCGTTGTTGCGTTCTACAGCAAAAATGATGCCGTTGATATTTATGATATTGCGGACAGTCTTTCTGCCAAGGGCTGGCATCTCAATGCGCTTCAATCGCCCCCGGCGATCCATGTCGCGTTCACCGTCCCCACGGCCGCTGCTGTGGATGCACTTACCACCGACTTGGTCGTGGCTGTGGAGGCGGAGTTGGCCAAGGCGGAAGAGAGAAAGCAGCAAGGCAAAGCGTATGTTGTTAAGCGTGGAGACACTGCAGCCCTGTACGGCGTGGCCGGCAGCATGCCGGACAAGAGTATTGTCAGCCGCCTGGCCGAGGGCTTCCTGGATACCCTGTACAAAGCTTAGATTGTTCAGAAAGGCCCGCACTGTCCATATGGGTTGAAAAGCGTATAAGTCTAGGAATTGCAAATAGCGGACAATTGGTGTTATGGTGCATAGGTTGGGTATTGCTTCGTCTGGAGAATTATTGTTACAAAACAGACGTTAAAACATGAAGTTTTAGGGTGATGTAGATCCCATTCCATATGACAATATGTGTAGTATAGTACAATGCATAATCGTTGCGCAAGATGAACCCGGACTGAGACACAGATCCGATCAAAGAAAAGCCGCTGGATGCATGCAATAGTTCACTTCCCTTCACCTCCACCTCTAAGTGGGAATTTCACCCGCTTGCTCAGTCCCATATAGTACACATCACTTTCCACCGACATGAGCAGGCATATCCAACAAATTCGACAATAAAATATGAAATCCCAGACTCCAATCCCATACCAATCAATCAATCAATCAATCAAAACGAACCATTCCGCAAAAAAGCCGAATCGAAAACACCAACAGTCCACCTCATTCCCAAGAGATGGATATCACTCAAGCCAGTCTATTCTCCTCAAACTCCACCCCCGAGGTCTTCTCAACATAGTATCCCGGATCGGGCTTGCGCTCCAAATGCACCTCTTGCTTCGTGAGTCGGCGGTCGACTTCCTGCACCTGCACCAATTCCTTGACTTTCATGATTTGACCCGCCACTGACGGCGACACGGGGTGGAAGACGGTAGCCATGCGCTTCTTCAGGCCGAGGGCTTTTAGGACGTCGTTGGTGCGGCGTGGGAGACCGATTGCTGAGCGCATAAGCGTGACGCGGAAGTAGCTGCTCATTTTGACGGTATGTGGGTTTGTTTGTTTGGTTCGGAGGTACTTGGTAGGGAGGATTCGGAGGATCGTAAGGTAAACGCTCAATGACGCTGTAGGTATGTAGGATGTGGGATTGTTCTCTGTGCTTGCGAATGCTGCTCGCTGAGATGCTTTTGCTGTTGATTCCGCAAATTTCCCGATGGCGGTAGCGTAGCTGGGCGGGGAGTCACGTGGTGGATGTGTTCTGCCGGTTGGCGGGTTGGCGGGCGGGAAATGTGGGTGGCATTTACTACTTAGTATGCTTGCTATGCTACTTACCTATTTGCTGTGTACCTTTGTAAGAGTTGTCATTTTAGAAGATTACTTGGCTCGGTGAGCCATTGGTGAGTTTGTCTCTTGTTTTCATGTTGGGAGGCTGTCATGCTAATGGTTTCTATGACATGCAGATATACCCCGGAGCGCTGCGCGTTTAGGAGGGGATAATTGCTGCTAGCTTATGGTCTAGCTGTTACTATAGCTAACCACCATCGGTCAGTTGATTGGACTATACTTGTTGGTGGTGTTATAATACTTGGTCGGCTTTGTATACATACTTGCGGTGATACGGACTTGTTGAACGACTATACCGTGAACTTCGAGACTGCGACAGCTACAAACCATGGCGCGAGACGACAACGGAACGGTGGCCATGCCCCGTCTAGAAGACATCCTCCGCCACCCCGAAGACCTCGACAAGATCATGGGTCTGAAAGCCGAATACTCGCGCAAGAAAGCGGCCGTTGATTCTCAGCTACGGGAAGGTCTGCGCGACCAACTGGAGACCGTGCAGCGCAGCATCAACGCCCTCACGGAAGGTCAGCGACAGGTCTCCAAGACGAAAGACGAGCTACAAGGAATTGACAAGCTATGCGCGGAGTCACAAACAAGTGTGGAGGATTTCTCGCAGATCGACAAGCTGGCCAAGGTGCAAAGGAACTTCGAGGCCACGTTGACGATGAAGAAGGGGCTGGAGGAGTTCAGTGAGAACCTGGCGGTGGTTGAGGATCTTCTGCGCGAGGATGATGAGGATTTGGAGAATCAGCCCAATTTGCTAAGGGCTCATATGCAGATTTCGAAGCTGCGCGATTTCAGAGACGAGGCTATGGATCAGATACGCAAGGCGCAAGATCCGAGTAGTGAGGAGACTCTGGCGGATTATTTTCAGGGATTGGATGGGGTGGTCGATTGGTTTGATGATCACCTTGGTACGGCGTGCATGAATTTGATCCCGCTGGTGCAGTCGGATAACCCTGGGATGGTGGTCCGGCTGGCGGTTGTGGTCATGAACGAGGAGAAGAATGATCAGACGGTGCGGGCGTTGCAGGAGGCGCAGAAGGATCACCAGGACCTCGCAGACCGGTTCAAATCAATGAATGTAGGACCGAAGACGGTTCGCGGATACAAGGAGAAGTTCCTTCAGGCCATCGAGTTCTACGCGCAGAACCAGTTCGAAGCCACCAAGGAGGACTTCCTGGCCGAGCCGGACAACCTCGACAAGAACTTCCGCTGGTTCTTCAACGACCTCTACACCGTGCAGCAAGGCATGCAGCCGCTGATGCCGAAGAAATGGAAGATCTACAAGACCTACACGGAGATCTACCACCGCATGATGCACGACTTCTTCATCGGGCTGATCAACGACCCCGAACTACCCGCCGACAACCTCCTCGCCATCATCCACTGGACGGAGAAATACTACAAGAAGATGCACAAGCTCGGATGGAAACAAGCCGACCTCAAGCCCAACATCCTGGACGACCGCGAACCCGAACTCATCCGCCAATGGCAAAACATCATCATCCGCGCCGTGGAAGACTGGACCAACCGCATCACCGAAACCGACCGCAAGGGACTCGTCGAACGCATCCCAGACTCCCTCGACACCAACCCAGAAGGCTGCTTCCGCACCAAAACCCTCCCAGACATGTGGCGCATGTTACACGAACAGATCATGGCCTCGGGCGCCTCCTCCCGCACCGACGTCGTCGAGGGCATTATCGACGCCATGTTCCGCGTCCTCAAAGCCCGCCAAGTGGCCTGGCAAACCCTCATCGACGAAGAATGCGCCAAATACAAGGCCCCCGGCGGCGACCTCCTCGACGGCCTCCAACTCCTCCAGGACTGGCTCGTCGCCGTCGCCAACGACCAAATCGCCTGCATTGACGACAACGAAGAAACCGGCCAGCTGGGCTACCTCAGCCGCTTCAAACGCGACTTCGAAACCATCGTCGACCCCAAGTACATGGCCTCCCGAGCCATCCCCGAACTTGACGCCCTGCGCGACGGCTACGTCGATCTCAGCACCCACTGTCTCACCCAATTCGTCGAACTCATCTTCGCCGTCGACTTCCGCACCACTATCCCCGACTTCTTCACCCAGAAATGGTACGGCGATTTCGCTGTCAAACGGATCACTTCGACCTTCGAAGACTACATGGCCGATTACTCCCCCGTCCTGCACCCCTCTCTTACGGATATCCTGGTCGAGGAACTCTCCGACGAGCTTCTCGTCAAATACCTCTCCTCTGTGCGCAATAAGGGCGTCAAGTTCCGTCACAATACTGATCCGTACACGGATAAGTTCAAGGATGATGTCCTTACGGTGTTTGCTTTCTTCCAGAATTATCCGGATTCGTTTGCCGGGACTATTAAGATGAAGTGGCGGTTGGTGGATTGGTTGGTTAGATTGTTGGATTCGGAGAAGGGACCTGCTCTCGTCGCTGTGTATGAGAACTTCAAGACCGAGTATTGGGATTTGCAGCTCTCGTGGGTTGAGGCTGTGCTGAGGACGAGGGATGATTTCGAGCGCAGTATGATTAGTGCTGTTAAGGCGAAGGCGGCCGAGTTGTCGGTTGAGAGGGGAATGGAGACGTTGATGAGTAAGGTGAGGTAGTTGGGGTTATTATTTTGGTGGTCGAGAGAGGTTGTGTGTCTTTCAGCGTGGTGTTTGGCGTTTCATCTACTTTTGTTACTTTTTACACATCATTCTGGTTGTAGACTGTGTATGTACATGCTGCTGCTGTTGCTGTCTGCTCTTAGCCAAACATGATATTCAAGATATCACGAACCGAATAGCAGACTCTTCTCCGCTACGACGCGATACTTCTCCCCCAATCGCGCATTCATGCCCTCGTCCTTACCATTCAGATCAGGCACGAGCTTCTTCGCTCCCATTTCGCAGATACATACCGATTCGATAGGGAAATCCCTCGCCCAGACGAAGGGCGTGCCTTTCCCTTTAGGAAGGCTACTCTCACCCTCTGAGCCTGAACCTGACCCAGAGCCCTCATTTTCAATGACCTCCATACTAGGAGCAGTCACAGTCCCAGTGCTCTCCACACTCTCCCCAGGAGGCGTATAATCGCGATACCTAGCAAGAATCTCCCTCGCATCGAACGTATACTGCCTCTTCCTCTTATCACCCCTGCCATCACCACCTCTACCTCCTCCTCTCCCACCATGACCACCACCTTTCCCCTTCGCGTAAATAGTATTCACAATGGTAGCATGCAGCAACAACGGCCGTACCTTGGGCTTAGACCCGACAGACGCAGGCACCATCTCCGCACTCTCCCCAGCAGCCAAATCCACCTGCCCCTGTTGCTGCTCCTCACCGCCACCTACATCCACTGCCACCTCCGCAGGCTTCTCCGCAGGCTTATCCCCCACCAAAAACCCCTCCTCGAGAAACCTGTCCCTCAGCCGGACACAAAACGGATACAGACGGTTTGTGGGATCCACGGGCGCGGCATGCAGAACGGTTGCTGCTTTTGCGCGGGGAATGGCGTGTAGGGATTCGAGGGATATGAGGAATGGAGAGACTGGTGCGGTTGGTTCTGATGGTAGTGTTTGTGGTGAGGAGGATTGGGTCTCGCGAAGCATGGCTTCTAGGTCGAGGGAGTGCAGGAAGCGGATTGCTTGGGAGAGGCGGTCCGGGGTAGGGAGGCTCATTACGCCGAGGGTGAGGTGGAGGGTGCCGACTGGGCGGTGGGCCGAGGGGGGGATGAGGGGTTGAGGTTGAGGTGCATGTTGGTGGTGTTGATGTCCATGTTCATGTTGGTGTTGAGGTTGGAAAGTTGGGACCGAGGCTTTGAATGTTGCGAGGGAGGATTCGAGTTGGGGGAGGGAGGTGGCGTTGATGAGGGGGAGACACAGGAAGTGGGTGAGTGGGGGGCGTTTTTCCTTTCTTTGATTGGGATGTGGTCGTGGGTTGGACATGATTTTGTAATTGTGGTTGTGGTGGTGGTGGTTATGGTATAGTCGAGGGAGGGAGAGGGGGAGGATGAACTGTAGATGGAAGTGATGCCGGGGTTGGAATTGTTGTAGTAGTATTGTATGGGTTGCGATGCAGGGTCTCAATGACCTGCAGGGGCGCATCGAGGAGATATATTCAGAGATAAGTCCGAATGAATCACACAAATCGGAGAGGGTAGTAAGCAATGGAGAGTGGATGTAAGAAGTAAGAAGGAATCTTGATGATGATGAAGCTGACCGACTAAAAGGTATAGCTCTCTCCACAGCCAATGACAGCCCGCTCCGCTCCGCACTCGATGATGTGATGCCATCACTTCTTCCTCTCTTGTTCTTGTTCTTCTTCTTCCTCTTTTCCCTTTCTTCTCCCACCACCACCACACCACTTTCAATCAAACCAGCACAATGAATCCAACCATCTACTCCCGTCTCCCCCGAGCAATTCTCTCCCCCGCCGCTGCAACTGTCGCCCGTCCCTCCCTCCGCGTCGGTGCCCGCTTCGCAACAGCAACACCATTCCAGCTCCAACCTCAACCCCAACCCCAGCTCCCCCGTCGGTGCTTCCACGCCACCTCAGCTCCCCGTAAAGGCATCTTTCCCGATTCTGCAGATCCTCCAGCTCCGCACCCTGAATCCAGCAATGTCGCCGGCGCAGCCACCCACGTTACCGAGCCTTCCCCGTTGACGGACGCGCAGTACCACGACCACGCGGAACACTACCTGGATGTGCTGCAGTATGAGATCGAGAAGGCCCAGGAGGAGGGATCGGATATCGAGGCTGAGTATAGTGTTCGTCCTTCCTCAGTTTCCCATGATACTCCCGAGTAACGTTACCGAAGAGAAGAAAACATTTCAACTAACAATGATGGATGATGAATTACAGGCCGGCGTCATGAACATCAGCGTCCCCGGTGTAGGCACCTACGTGCTGAACAAGCAACCCCCCAACAAGCAGATCTGGTTGAGCTCGCCGATTTCCGGCCCCAAGCGGTACGATTGGGTGGTGGAGGGTGATCAAATGCACGAGAAGCAGGAGTCCAGGCCGTTTGTTAACGGGCAGTGGATCTATCTCCGCGATGGGTCGAATCTCACGGATTTGTTGAACCATGAGTTGACTCTCAACTTGCCGAAGGATGTGTACAGTGAGGTTCTGGAGTAGGCTGCTGCTTCTGCTGCTGCTTCCTTTCTCCGCACCGGGAGGTGGTTGGCTTTGTCTACGGGTGGGTGGTTGAGAGATAGTGTAGGATATGGATTGATGTGTGCGAGTGACGGCTAGTTATCTAGTGTTGTAGTGCCTGGTAGTAGATAATACAGTTCGGCGCGGTACTCGTTGCGTAGAGTACTTGTGCGCAGGCAACATGGTATATATCCAAGTGGTATCTTAATCCAATCTTCCGTCGTTGGCTCATTCAACCTGCGCATCTATCGCAGATATAGATATCTTGCGTCGCATGCGCCCGTGTTATACTGGCGCGGCATCGGCTCTGCGCCTGCGCTCGCTCTTTAGTGCAGCAAGCTGCATATAGTATGTCGAGTGGCTGCTGCTGCTGCTGCTCAGGCCATGACATCACCCACCGATATCACCATCGAAAGACGTCCTCGTAGTCGACACACATCTTGCAGCGAACACTTTGTCGCAAAGCACACTCGTCGTTTGTTCGAGGTATATCGGAAAGCATTCGTCCGCGAGCAATCCAATCCATTCCAGCCCAATGTAGAGAATCCCAATATCAAATCAACTAAATCGGCTTAACCCTAAGCGATAAACCCCCAACATTTAAGCCTGAACAGCAACAGCCGCCGACCCATTCTTATCATCACCGTCCTTGGGAAGATCGGCCTAGACGCAAACCCCGCATCATCAGCATAACAGTTCCCAATTATACATAGCGAATTCTCAAGAAACAAGACGAAAAGGGGAAAGAAAGAAAGAGGGGGGAGTTACCGCATCAAAAATCACCCTGATCATCAAACTACAGCTGGGACAAACACCAATATCCTCGCCGTCACGGAGATCATCAATGGCGATTTCGAACCGGTCGCCACAGGGACACGGGTAGTGGTAGATCTGGAGAACCGGATCGAAGGTCATGTCTTCAATTTCGATCTCGTCGTAGATGGAGATGGAGTCGTCGGCCATTTTTCTTTCTTATCCCTTTTAGTTTATGGGGTTCTGGTTGGTTTTCTGAGGGGAATAGAAATAGAAAGTTGGGGTGGTGTGGTTCCTGAGTATAAGAATTAAAGTGGGCTACTATCGTTATCAGTGAGTGGATGGCAAAAAAGAAAACTTTTGGCGGGAGGGGTCAGGTGATTGCGGGGTTGGTGATTGGTCCGTTGTTTAGCTGTATACTACTTAAGTACTTAGTTGTACTAGTTAAGATATAAGGTAATGTTATTATATATTTATTGGTGTATGTTCGTGTCAGGGTATCTATCATAAAGTTAAAACTATACATTCAGTCGCTCGATCTCCATCCTCACATCCTCTACCTCCTGTATCAACGACCCATATTGTCGCGCAAGCTCCTTCATCGGTCCGCGCCCTGCTCTATCAATATTACTCTCGTAGTCCTTCAACTCCTCCAAAGCCGTAGCACGTCTTTCCTCCAGCCGTTCCCTCGTATTCTGAAGGTGCTGATAATACCGTTGCAGCGCATCCACGACCTCCGGCGTATGTATCGTCGCGAGTATATCCAGTTTCGTAAGACTGCGGTCATATCATATTAGCCCCATGTTCACCCACCCCATTCCAATGTAGACATACTTAAGCTTCCCCTCTATTCCCTGCGCCACCGCCAGCAAATGGTCCGCCTTCGCCTTCGCCGCCCGAGCCATCGCCCCATGTTTCGCTCTCTCTAAGAGCATCACCGTGCGCTCCAGCACGGCCGCCCGCGTCGCGAGCACCTCAGCCGCCGTCGCAGCCATCCGGGTCCGAGCTGTCGGGAGCTCCGTCAATTGTATCTGACGCAAAGCGCGAATCCGGTCCTCGAGCTGTGAGGCGAGCGGCACCTGCGCGACGGACCTAAGCATAGCCTGGCGATTGCGTGCGCGGGTTGTTCGGGGCGGTTCATTGGGTGTTGATGTAGATCCGGAGCCTGCGGAGTCGGATGATCCTGCGTTGGCTATTGTGCGGAGGTCGTTGAGTGTTGTGGAGAGGACATTAGATAGCGGAGTGGCTAGGAGAGGAAGATTGGAGTAGAAGTCGTCGATGTCGGGCGCGAGGAGTAATTGCGCGTCTGTGGCTGCATCGCGGGAGTCGTCGTCAAGCTGGAGCAACTCGGGGGAGGATTCGAGGTAGAGGGTTATGATGGCGATGGGGTCTCGGCACTTGAATGAATCAATCGTTAGCCTGATTCATCTCCCTTGAGTGGGTTGGTGTTGCTAACATCGTCGGGTACTCCGCTGTCCGGGTCGAATGCCAGCCGTCGCAAGGCTTGCTTCTTAATTTGCTTTTTCGCGTCTCGTATCCGGCAGGCTTTTACTTCCTAAATGGTATTCCAGGGTCAGAGAACCATTCAAAAATGGATGGCGCGACCTGGTGTTACGATCACGAGGTGAGACGCACTTCCACAACAGCCTGTCTAGCGGGTTGCGCATCCTGGGCGCGAGTGGAGCCATCGGGATTCAAGAGAGTCGTCGTCAGATGGGTATAAAGTCTCTTAAATTGAGGGTTGTTGTCAAGAATGACCGGATCGCATGGCGGGATCATGGTTTATGGCAGGGGCTGCGCGTAAAGCTGTCGCAGGTGGAAGTGCATCATCTACCAACAAGCGGCGAGCAATCGGGCGGCCACCGCCTCATCCCCGTGACCTGGCGATCTACAGTCCCTAACATGTCGATAGAGCATGGTCTACGCTCTACAAGAACCATAATGAATAAATATCATATCATAATACAAAGCTGAATTTTCGCTTCCATTTTCACATTCCTTTCGTAATCATACACGCACCTAGCCTTCCAGCATGCTTCTCTCCGCATCCGTCCCCATCCTCGTTACTGATGAACTCGACGTCCCTCAGCTCAAAGGAGATTCAACGCAACCTCATCAAAGGGATCATCCGGTTGCGCTGCTGGTCGTCAAACATCCTCCAAATCTCTCCCCAAATAGCACCCTATGTACAAGTGCACGGCTCAACACCGATCGCGCTGTCCTCCAACATGGAAAATAAAAAAGAAAATGAGATGAAAACACAATCGCTAGGAACAGAAGTAGAGTGATAGAAGATAAACAAAGCTCATTAGTGGGTGGAAGAAGAAGACCATGGCGTAACACGCAGTGGGAATTAACTACTGAAGTCATGAGGCACAGGCCCAGCAAACAGAAGAACAACATAGCTTGCCAGAGGCAGCAATCATTTACTCCTCCTCGCTCTCCTCCGAATCATCTTCAGAGTCGTCGCTGCTCTCGTTGGCTTCGACCGAGGGCATAGGGTCTGGAGAACGGCCTCCGCCACCACCTTGGAACCGAGACAAGTTGCTTTCGAGCATGTTGATCTGAGCTTCTTGCTCGTACTTGCTCATGGGCTTGTTCTTCTTCGGCTTCGGGGCGGCCGCGTTCGCCGCTGCCGCAGAGGCAGGATCCTCCTCTACCACATGCGGCGCGTTCTTCTTGACAAACCGAAGTAGCATAAGGAGAACGTCATTAGGAAGCTCATCAATGTCGAGCTCGATTTCAGCCTCTTGGGTACCCTGCAGAACGTGTTAGCCCTTGCATAGACAGTAAGATCACATTAAGCGAATAACTTACCTTGAGGGCAGGGACATTAGTCTGGATGATCTTGAGCGCCTCCTGCATCTTCTTGTCAGGAAGGCTACTGATCCCGTTGGAAATGATCTGCTTCTCGTGGTAGGTGACCCAGTGCTGTTTCTCCGGTTTGGCTGAAACCTTGGTGGTGCTCTTCTTGCTCTCCTTCTTAGCGAGCCCCATAGTGCTAGGCTTCTTACTCTCCTTCTTCGACGGCTTGGTCTTTCCGAGCTTTTTGCTTCCCGGCGGGGTCTTCTTTTTCTTCGTAATAGCTTCAATCTGGCGGGTCATCTCTTCCATCTGCTTCTGCAGCAGGCTGAGCTTCTCGGCATCGTAGTCGCTCTCTTCGGCGTCCTCCTCACTCTCTTCTTCGGAAGACTCTGCGCTGTGATGCTCGACATGCGGCTCATGCTGCTCCAGATAACGTGTCTTCTGAGCCCACTTCTTGTTGAATTCTTCCTCGAGCCGCTGGCCCGCCATGTAGGTCGGGTCGCCCGGAATGTTAAATTTGAAACAGTTCTTCAAGATGAGGCGCATATCTAGCTCGAACTCCTTGGCATTCTCATACTGGCCGGCCCTCAGTTTGCTCTGCACAGTAGAAAAATCCATGGGCTTCTTAATGATACTGTGATACGTAGGAATGTTGAGCGCAACAGGATCAACGGGGTGATAGAAAGGCATCGCGTATGTGTAGTGCTTCGGCTTGTGCAGCTCGTCCAGCACCTCCTGGCAGAATCTCAGCTCCCACTGGTACTTCTTCTTCTTCGGCTTCGTGGAGTACGGGAGATCGCGCTTCGGAGGGTGGATAGAACGCTTCGGACGCCCGTCGGCATTAGCAGAATCGCGGCGGATCAAAGGAAGGCCTTCCGGACCCAAAGCAAACGTCGTCGCCTGGGGAGAAGCGCCCGTGGCGCGTGCCGTGCTAGGACTCGGAGCGGGGCGGTGATCTCGACGGACTGCTGCCGAAGGCTTAGCAACAGACTTCTTCGGCTTCTTCTCCTCCACCTCATCAGCTCGAGGTAGATTGGCCATCTGCTTATCGAAGGTGATCTTGAGCTTCTGCCCCTCTTGAGCGACAAGGTGGTCGGGACCGTTGAATGTCAGCGCATTCTGCACCATAAGGTTGAAATCATCAATAACGGCCTGTGCAGTCCGATAATTGTTGTTTTTCAACTTCTTCTCAATGGTTCCAAGGTCCATGGGCCGTTTAATGAATTGCGGGTAATGGGGGACATTCAACTTTATGGGATCCACGGGCTCTCTGTAGAAGCGAGAATCGTGCATCCGCTTCAAGCTCTGGATGGACTTGGAGAGGAACTTGTGCTGAACCTTAGTCATGGTTGCTTCTCCATTTGTAGCCCGTTCCGAGCGCGCCTCACTAGGTGTAGGCAAATCAGGCACCTTGAAATCGGCTGACGCCGCACCTTCCCCTCCGATCTTGGTACGCTTGGCGGCAGGCTCGTCGCTAGGATCACGCTCGCGCTCCCTCGAAACCTTGGTCGGGGAGGCTGGAACATCCGGCGCGTCACGCATCTCTTGATCCACGCTCTGCAGTGGCGGCACCGACGGCGCCGTACTAGCAGCGTCGGTCTGCATTGCGCTCTCAGGCTTCGCATTCGAAGGATGGTGGGGCAGCTCGGTTTTCACAGCGGCAGAATCTTGTGATGGCCGGGCAGTACTCTCCACTTTAGCGTCGGACGGCGCATCAGTTGATGGCTTTGATGCATCCTGAAGCGCCTGTGTATCTTTAGACTCGGCGCCACTCGCACCGTCGCCACTAGCCTGTGCAGCCGCAGACGTCTTTTCACTAGCGGTTTCCTTCTTCTCCCCAGTCGCAGCGGAATCCACATTTGAAGGTTTGGCTTCTTCGGACGCGACGGCTGGTTGTGCGGAAGTTTCTGCGGTCGGTAAGGATGGACTCTTGGGCGGAGAGGCGGTCGCGGCTACGCCGTTTGTGTTGGAGGTAGACTCGGCAGTCGATCCGTTTGCCTTGGCAGGCTTGTTCTCCTCTGTCGGCTTCTCTGCACCGTTGACAGGCGCGTCTGATTTGGCGTTGGCTACAGCATCTTGGACTCTGCGAGGACATTAGTAAACAGACATCGTAGACACAAAACGCGAAAAGTAACGGAGCATACCCTGTGCGACCAGTATCAGCAGGCGAAACTCCATTGGGCGACGGCGGCAATTGAGGCTTCTCCTCTTTGATCGCAGAGGGAGCCTCGGGAGGCGGCGTCGCCATTTGAGGTCGCTGAATTTTCGATTATGTCCTCCGACGGGACCGGGGGTACAAAAGAATCTAACAGGCAGCGATTCTGGTCGCAGGAGCTGGTCACTGGAATCGGAAAGTTTAGGGAGCGGCAGTAACACAAATCAACTGAATAGGTACTCTCTCTGCGCTAACACAGACTAATGTATGGATTTTCGGTAATCGGCGAGCGACAACAGCTGATTAGATGACAGAAGACACACAAGGGCAGACGGGTGTCTTGCGCGGGCCACAGATGGTATGCGACGCCACGGAAGTTGCAAGAGATACAAGAAAGGATGGAAGATTAGCGCGGGCCGGAGGGGGGTGGAGAATGCGACAGGAAGGAGGAATATTTATATTGCCAAGAGGGCGGCGGGCGGAAGATAGCCTGCAGTCACGTGGTGCGGCAAGTACCGGTGACTAAGCGGGAGGCAAAAGGGTCGCCAGACCAAGATGGAAACAGACGGAATTCAATGAAAAGAAAGGGACTAGGGGGAAAGTTGCAGGTGAGAGAAGACGAGATAAGGAGAATGTCAGTTGGAGCTCAAATGCTCGTCAATCCACAATCTGCACGTGCCAAGCCGTGATTGCTGCCTAAGGCCAGAAACAGGTGTTGATGCCTGGAAGAACTGAAAGGGGGCTGTGGGAGAAGCGATGAGGAAGGTACAGTGAAGTAAAGTCCGTGTTGTCGGCAACGCGATGGAGTCGTTGCTAATAATATTAGAAGAAAAAGAAAGGGGAAAGGGGCGGGCCAAAAATAAAAAATGGAACCCAAATAAGCAGCTGCAGTAGCTGTGGCTGGGATCGAGCAAGCGCGCGACGCGAATGACGCGTGAATAGCGTGTTTATGAAGGAAGGAGAGATGGAGCGCAGTCCAGGGGCAGCCGAGGACACAAAGGGCGGTCGGGGGGCGGGCGTGAATGGCAGGGTAATAAGGAAAGCGTGACCGGCGCGCAGCAGCTCTCAGCTCAGCTCCAGAAACAGAGACTGAGAAAGTCGGAGGGGGTGCTAGAATCCTTAAGTACGAACGGTCGCGTTGCGCCCGTCCGTCCTCTGCCGCTAACTCCATCGGCCACGCTAGTCCCAATTATTCTAGTTCAAGCCATTCCGCAGCCGCTGATTGGTCCAGGGATGACGCGTTCTACGAGATACGAGTTGTTATTGGTTGTGACCAACCCTGGACGGTGGACCCAGGTTCCGGGTACCAAAAGTTCCCTTTGTCGGAAACATCGAAAACAACAAGAGAGGTGTGAGCAAAAAAAAAAAAAAAAAAGTCTTCAGGTGGTGGTGAAGACAACAACATGAGGTGAAAATGCAACCAGGCATTCCACACCTCCCAAACTTTGGGGGAATAACGATCGGCACAGAGCCCCCATCATCCCATATTATCGACGAGATGCATCGTGATGATACTGAAGGTGAGTCAGGTCAGATATGACATACCCAAAAATTTGTCAGGCATTCAAGCGGTATAAGAAGTGCATCATGTATCGGGGTGAAGCCTGTTGAGCTGGACGCCGAGCCAGGCTGTGGAGGTCACCAGACCTGATGAAACCCCAGGGTTAGGCCCTGAACCCTCCCTTGCATCGGATCCGGACTAGGCTGGGTATTGCCTGCTGATGTAACCAACCACTCCGGGCCAAAGCTCCGATTCCGATTCCGAACGACAACACCATTTCGCGAGCTGGCCCGCATACCGGTGAAAGGTATCACGTATAAGAGCTATAAAAGTGGCGGCTGCTGTGGCTGCGGCATTTCCAACTGGCGTTTGATGAGTTACCTTGCTGGCAATATTGCTGGGTTGACTGGATGACTCGTCTAGGCAGCCGTAGAGTAACGGTGGCGCCTGCTGCCACTCCCTGTTCTGTTGGTCTCGATCAGAAACTACCCCATGTGTGCTCCATTATCTCGGATATGTCTTGTCTCAGCCAGAGCCCCTAACTTTTTGTGGATCAAGACGTGGATACCTGCATAGGTAGCAAGATGTGAGTCATTCTTCGTATAGTTAACAAGGTCCAGTGCATCCGAGTGCCACACCCCTCTGAGAGGGATAAGCTAGATGGATCCATGGAAAGAGTCATCAAAGAATGAAATTATAGTTGCGAGTGTGATCATGTGAAAGAGAAATTGGTGCGAAAAGAAAAGCTTGACAAACCCATTGTCACCACCCAAAGAAGCTGTATGTGGAGCGAGGGAGTGTGGGAATCAGGAGAAACCTTGTAGCAGTGGTTAGTTGGCTGTAGAAGACGACGCGGGGTCAAGCATTCTGAATATTGCCCAGCGGGCCTCTGTGAATCGTATGGTGAACAGGACCATTATAGCAAATGGACCCGAAGCACTCTGCAGGGGACATTGATTCATGTGAAGTATGAGTAAAATGTGAGCAGAGGAGAACAAGTCAGTCAGACAGACAGACAGGTGAAGAGAATCGTCGCATTGGGAGACTAGAGAGGGCGCTGTTGGATCGACGTCGAAGGAAGAGGAGAGAGTTCTGTGCTCTTGGAGAGGAGAGAGCCGCTGTCTGCTTAGTTATTAGCACTATGTGCTGCAACCCGCGCGGAGGATTAGATAAGACGACCGGAGCGGAACTAAGGTTCACAGGCGACTAGACCGCAACGGGCCAAGCGCATCTCTACAGAACTTTTTTTTCCTCCTCCAGCATCAACGGCCCAGCGACGCCGACGGTTTGCAGCTCAACTGGCTTTCAGCACAAGAGGTTCTGTTCCTTATCCGCAGCGGATCTAGGATTCTTGTTACCTTTGCGTGCTTGCTTTGCGACACGTTCTCTTGCATCTGCTCCCATCCGCCTATACAGCGAGCCAGTTCAAAATGGGCAAGAAAGCGTCTCGCCCGCCCGCGACGAAAACTTCCTCCGCTGCGTCGCCCGCGGCATCCGGCCTCACATATACCGGGAATAAGTCTTCGATACTGAAGGCTTCGTTTGCCCCGTCGGAATACCAATTGGCGCTTTTTGCATCAGTCATCCAAGGCCTCGATGCTCAGCATCTCCGCATCCACGATACGAACACCGGACGGTTACAATGCGAGCATGTCTTGGGTCCTAAGGAGACGGTCACTTCCCTAGACTGGGGTTACTACTCCAGCACCAAGAAAGATCGCGATCAGCAGTCCAAGAAGAAGAGAAAGAGACCTTCCGACGTCAATGGCAACGGGTTCGACCAGGGAGACGTAGTTGTTGCCATTGGTACCAGTGCCTCCGAAATCCGCATGTACTCGCCCGTGGAGGACAAGATCGTCGGAACGCTTGCAAACGGACATGAGAAAGGTATCAGAGACTTCAAGTTTACCTCCAGCCGACCTGGACAGGAGGGTTGGAGTATCGGCGGTGATAATAAGCTTGTGCAGTGGGATCTGTTCACCGGGAAGACGACCAGGTAGCTCTTTCCCCAGCAACTTTGGTACAGCCCGGCCTTATACCTAACTGTTATCTAGGACAATCCATATTCCCAGCACATCGGCCCTCAGCACACTGGCGCGCCCGCTTCCCTCAAACCCACCTGTCATCTGCGCCTCTCAGACCCCGTACGTCGTTAGCGTAGAAAAAGATGAAGCCCCAGTCACCTTCGATGCGATGCGGAACCCGATCAAGAACATCATTCCTTCTTCTACGGATTCTGCCACTTCTGGACTCTTCCTCGCTGCCGATGGCGATCGTTACATCACTGTTTTTGATGTTGAGAAAAGAAAGCTTGCCCTGAACCTCGTGGCCGAAAATGGTGTATCATCGGTGTCTCTGTACACCGGTGCGGAACGGAAGGGCTCTACTCTGCCGGCAGAGAAGCAGGTCATCGCTGCAGTCACCGATGATGGCACCATCGAACTCTTCACTCGGCCATTCGTGCTGCCGAACGATCAGTCCACTGCTAAGGGCGCCGCTAGCCTCAAAGCCAGATCGAAGCAGGCTATCCGGAGAGCTGATTCTCAGATCAAGGTGACTGTGTCCGCAACATCCAATGCCCTGGTTTCCATGGTGGCCGCTTCGTTCGAAGGTCCGGACTTGGTTGTTGCTTGGGCCGAGGGCGGCGTGGTTCCGGTTTTCGAGCGGATCAAGTGGCTCAACGAAGAGACGGACGACTTGCTTTTCACAGGCACCAAGCATATCGCCAAGTCCAAGTCTGGTTCGGTTCTGGGATCGGTCACGACGAACGGAACGAGAGCCGCTAACGAGAACCAAGTCGACGAGTCCAAGGCAGTTGTGGAACAGGGAAATGTTATTGAAGACGATATCGAGATGCAAGATTCTAAGGATGCTGCTTCTGTAGCTGGCAGCGACGAGGAGTCGGACGACGAGGAGGCGGAACCCAAGCAAAAGAACGATTCCAAGCAGTTGCAGAAGAAGTCTGACGCGGACAGCGATGTCGAGATGGGCAATGCCCAGGAATCTGGCTCGGAGGAAGAGGATGAAGACGAGACAGGCGAGCCTTCTTTCGGAGAGCTCATGCGCGCTAACCAGGAGGTCGACGTGGAGGCTGAGCTTGAGGACGACGTTCATATGGGATCGCTTGTTCCAGGCAAGCCCAGCGCCGCCGTGCAGCAGATTCCCACGGGAGTGTCCCTTTCCACCGTTCTCACTCAGTCCCTCAAAACCAACGACAACGCCATGCTCGAGTCCTGCTTCCACACTGGCGAACTTTCCATCATCCGCACCACTATTCAGCGTCTCGATTCCTCTCTCGCAGCGACCCTACTTCAGAAACTCGCAGAGCGCCTCTCCACTCGGCCGGGTCGCTATGGCCACTTACTCGTGTGGGTGCAATGGACTTGTGTCGCCCACGGCGGAGCTCTCGCCGGCAAGCCCGACCTTCTGAAGCGGATGTCCAACCTCTTCAAGGTCATGGAGCAGCGCTCCTCCAGCCTTCCTTCTCTGCTTCTACTCAAGGGCAAGCTGGACATGTTGGACGCACAGCTTGGCCTGCGTCGGTCGATCCGTAGCGGTGAAGAGGCCATGGAGAGCGAAGATGAAGAAAACATTATCTACGTGGAGGGTCAGGAAGAGGACTATGACGAGGACAGCGACGTCGACGCCAAGAACATGGTCACCCCGCGGAAGTCGATACGCGACCAGGCCTTCGACGAAGAGGAGTCTATGATGAACGGCGTCCAGACCGGCGACGAGTCGGAGGACGAGGAAGACGAGGGCAGCGAAGAGGAAGAAGAAGAGGACGAGAACATCCTTGACGTGGAGGCGGAAGAGTCCGCCGGATCTTCTGATGCCGAGGAGTCCCTAGAGGAAGATGAAGACGAGGACGACGAGGACGCAGAGAGTGTCGGGTCGATGGTAGACTTCATTGCGGACACGGAAGACGAGTCGGAGGACGAGCAAACACTGTCGACCTCGAAGCCACCACCGTCCAAGAAGGCCCGATTGAGCGGCGGAGGCCGAGGAAAGGGGAAGAACAAGGGCAGAAAATAGATGCAATCGTCGATTGATTGATTGATGAGAACCCGAATTCTTCGACCTCCCCTGTAGATCTTATACCCTGTTCATCAGCACTGTGTGTCCCCGGATGATGGTCTTGATTTATACTACTATTTCTTTTTACCACAACCACAACCACTACCACTACCACTACTATCCTCCCACCAAAAGTCAGAGAAAGGACAAGGAACAAGGCCCAAAGGATTTTTTAAATTTTGTCTACGTTTTGTTTGGTTATATCTATCTTATCATCTTCTTGTTTCATTATAACATGCATCATTGCTAGACTTTGGAAGGGGAGGGGCCAAGGAGCGGAGTACTATGAATATATATTATGATTCATTTGATTCCACTGGTCTAGTACAGTACTAACTGCGAGTAGTAGCAAACAATATATAACCTCGATTACATATACTATTATTACCCATATACCGCCATCATAGGTGTCCAGGAGGGTGCGAAAGACATTTGACAATTTCATGGCGTTAGTACCTAGTACGGATCTATATAGTTACCGAGATACTAGTAACAACTATATACAACAACACAAGCCACCACCCCATCTCCACAACAATCATCCTAGTACCCAATCAAGCACATATAAACATATCATAGTACCATCTTTTGATAGTATCTACCCACTACCATCATCGTACTAAACCCTCAACAAAACAAAACAAAAAGAAAATCACAACAACTCCCCCTCCCCACAAGCCCCCGAATGCAAAACCCTATGCCCAGGGATCTCCTTCAACGCGATCTCCAACACCACAGTACTCTCCTCCGTCGGATAAGTCGTGTAATGCCCCAAAGCACTAACTTCCGCAGTATCCAGGGCTAAAATCGCCCCGTTCTTACCCCCGACTATCCACGCATCGTCTGTTGAGTTCGGGAGAGTGATGTGCGCCACGCCGGAGAGGAAGATGACCCATCTATTGATTTTATTATTATTATTATTCATTCATTCATTAGCAAATATTATATACATAGGATGGACATTTATGTATGTATGTATGTATGTATTTGCATATTTATTTCTAGGGAATTATATTTGGGAAAGAGAGGGACATGGGGTAGGCATACTGGTTCGTGGGCGCATTATGGCGGCC